TTTTAACACATACGATAGATACTGTATACTATATGACTATTAAAACAACATTGCTACATGGTTGTACTTGTTTTAACTATCAGTGCTAACTGCCAGGCAAACTGCAAACTGCAAACTTCAAGATTCGATGTTTTCGGAAAAACAAACACGCTGTTCTTAAGTGGTATCACTTGTGCTTATTTCCATCGTCCCAGCGACTTTATGCCCCGTGGAGCGTCTTGTTCCCTGAAAAACTAGCACGCATGCCATCCTTTATCTAACACACGTAAAAATCTCACGATTTGTCAACAAGATGTGTTTCCAACATGCTTGTGGCAAGCTTGTCAACAAGTTGTAACAATGCTGTTATTTTATCAAATTGCTACAAGGTTGTCGCTTACAACTTGTTGACAAGTTGCTGAATGCTAGACTCCCCTTATTACGTTTTCGTAGCGCTTTGCATTGTGGTTATAGTGGTATCACTGATATTCAAGCTTATTTTTTGTCCTGACCCGTGCAAGAACTTTTAAAAAATGTAGGGTTAGGTGCGCAATAGTCAACAGCAAAATACTCGCGAAAACATTCAATATTTTCATTCGAGGCTACTATCTTTATCAGTGATATTACTATAACCACAATGCAAAGCGCTACGAAAACGTAATAAGCGGGGGAATCATCAATTGATGGAATTATTTGTTGATTTGACAGTCTCGCGTAACAAGGGGGGATTTCTTTCTCGACCAATCAGCGCATTTCTTGACAATTTCGCTCTAAGACAATCAGAATGCGTAATTGATTATTGTAGGTAGTTTCCCTGCGAGCACAGCCTGAGTTAGCCCACTTCCGGTAAAAACATACATTTCAACAGAAAATATAGAAGCTTCGAGGGGGTCAGGATTTTAATTTTTTTATAATTGGATTCAACGTGACAAGGTAAAGTAAGAAAATATTCTAAAAATTTGCCGCTGGGATTTGTGTTTTATCGCCTAGTTCTAAAATTATCGGCATTCGAACTTACGCGCATTTTAAGCCGGTTACAGACGAGCAAATTTTCTATGACAAGTTTTTATGTGACAAGTTTTATTTTCTCGTCTGTACGCGCAACTCTGACAATTTTTTCTATGACAAGTGCAAAAGCATGCAAGCTTTTGAACAAGTGCACTTGTCATAGAAAAAATTGTCAAAGTACAAATTTTGTTGGTCTGTATGGGTCAACAAAGAAAACTTGTCAAAGTAATCTGAGCATTTGATGTGAATGGCCAGCTGGCTACCAATAAATTGTTAAAGTAAACTTGTTGACACGTTCACACCAGCAAATAAAACTTGTCATATGAAAACTTGTCATATAAAATTTGTTGCATATACACACTTGCATTTGGCATATAGAACTTGTCACATAAAAACTTGTCACTTGTCATAGAAAACTTGCTCGTCTGTAACCGGCTTTATACGTCTGCACGTGTCGATATATAGCTTCAAATCGAAATTGTGATTAGTGATAACATGATAAAGTCTTTAGAATTCGCACATTTAACAAACTATGCAAAGATCGTCATTTACACATATTACATGTGCAGCCAATCAGAATTCAATTTCTTACGTTTAATTTCAATTTACATAACTGATGAATACACGTTCGTTTAAGTCCTTCGGTCAGTTCGGTGCATGTTAATTAATAGAATATCCATTTCATTTCTGCAAACAGCAGAGACGACATCATCGACAAAATGTCTCCAAAACGGAATGGATAACGGAATAGAGGCTACTAAAGCTCTTTGTTCGACATCTTCCATTACTAAATTAGCAATTACTGGCGAAACTGGTCCAAAAACCTGTTGATATAGTAATTGCCCTAGCTCAAACACAAAATATATATGGTGTTCAATAATATCTTCTACAGGCAAAGATATTCTTTGTGATAAAGTGGCACTCTGTCTTGTAAAAAACAGTACTGGATGTTTATTGCACTCTTGTCCTAATGGACTCGTTTTCAATTAGTTATTTCCTCGTGTTGCGTGTACTGCAATATGTGTAAGAATATATGCTTCTGATTCGACTCAAGATCAAAGAGAAACGTATATGAAGATATAACCTTAGTGTGCGCCTATCATGATAAAATAGACATGGAAACGAGGCCATTAATGCACAGTCTATTGGTGAACAAAAATACATTTTCTCAGCTTTTTAAAAAGTTTATTTATAGGTAATGCATATATTGGCCAATTTAATTTATTTAAACAACAAAATGAAAAACGTGAAAAATGTAATGTGAAATAATCGCGATAGTGTAGTGACCTCCGCTCGTGGATAGGTCGCAAATTGCGAAAAATATTGCCTTAATTTAACTAAATTAAATAGGTATCGATCGGCACGTAAAAACAATCAAAGTATAAGTATGAATAAGAGGGCGAAAATAATTTATAATTACTGATAAGTGGACAATAGTAAAACGTAGCGTATCGGACGTGAATATTTGAATGTCCTTGGAAATATTCATCCTCCTTTTCCTGCCTTGCTAAAGCTGTATACCAATCCATGATCCTGCCAACCCTCAAGACTCCAGTACTGTGGCATACTCGAAATTAAACCCAACTCAATAGACCTTTTTTAAAAGGCTGCCTTGTGACGTATTTGCGGATAAAGGAAAACCCCGAACAGCCATTTGGTTTGCCTGCAGTGGCGGCACCACAGGGAGGACTGGGGAGGACACGTCCCCCCCAGTTCTCTTCAAGGTCAATTTTCTAATTTGTCCAAATCCAGTGAGAAAAATGGGGGGGGGGGGGTGTACGTTTGTGACATCAGTCCAGTTATGTGAATAAAAACCGGTATTAAAGGATTTACTTTTGACAAAAGACCATTTCATTATTTCATATATGCGGTATTGAATTCAGTACCATTAGCATATTACAGGCGCTAATTTCGACTGCCGAAGGAAACCCACCATAATGGGTTTCTTAATAACTTAATATACTTAAATATAAAATTATGTTGACTTCAATTTTCCTGGAAGTAGCAATTCCTTTAGGCAGCTGTCCATCAAAGTAAAGTCATAGTTTTTATATATATGTATATAACCATGAAAATATCGTGTGATTTGTTCACTTTATAATCTTCGGAATTCTGTATAATCTTACCCTGAAAATGCAGGAAATCGTATTTCAAAAATTTTCCGGGGAGGGCATGCCACCGGACCCCCCTAGAAGTGCCTCGCCACTTTGCCGCTAGAAAATCCCCCCCCCCCACTTTTAAAAGGCTGGCACCGCCACTGTTTGCCTGATTGGCCAAATGATCGTATTTATCCGCAAGCTATACGTCACAAGGCAGACCTTTTTAAAAAGGTCTATTTTGAAAGGCTCTCCTCATTCCACGATCATGCCGTTAAAACCGTATCATTGGGCTGCAGCACACAAATAACCCTTCCCTCTGTGATGGAATGTAACTGCAAGAGGGCATGTGAGAAAATGTCTTGTTAAAGATATATGCCCGATTATTTTACTATCATTAATCACGAGAGGAATAAAGAAATCATGCTTGTTTGTTTCGACTCCCTGATGATGATTTCCTTGCGTATTCGAACTGAATACACAAGGAAATCATTCTTTTACATGGGAGCTGAAACCATCAAAACTTTTAAAACTGTTGGTAGAGCATTTTAAAATGTGTATCAGTACGGTACATGCACGGATAACTATATAGAAACTTTTTTTTTAAACTGTTAGAAGACTATTTTATTTTGTTAGAAGGATATATAAATTTGAATAATTACACTCGATATTTCCAGTCACTCATGCATGTGGCGGCATTATTTTACTCATTTTTTTAGTCAAAATTTTGCGGCGAAAACAGCTGGGGCCAGTCGTTCAAAGCTGGGTTAACTTAACCCTAGGTTAACGTGAAATTCATAGCAAACTTTCCAACAGCTTCTTTTGTAAATTTGGAAATATTTCTTTTGAGAACTGGTCTGAACCAGAAGGAGTTTTCTTCTCTGAAGTTTTGAAATACACAGACGTGCTGAAATACATAAACTAAAACAGCAGGCTAAATCTTAACCCAGGGTTAGCGCTAATCGTGCTTTGAACAACCGGCCCCAGAGCTGTAACATACATGCATTATTTTCTGTGTCGGTGCGATGTACTCAGGTGAATAAGATGCTTGTGATGTTACTCTGAGTGCATGTATATCCACACCGGGCAAGCTTGAAAAATATAACTGACCACGGTGGGAATCAGGCATATTTTTCAAGCTTACCCGGTGTGGACATACACTACAAGCTAGCATCTTATTCACCTGAGTACATTGCACCAACACAGAAAATATCATTATTACTAGATTACATTGATATCGAAGGAACTAGATTCTGTTCCGAAATATCACATACTCGAACCGACCAGACCGCGTAGCTCAGTTAGTACAGCATTGGGCTGGTATACCAAAGGTCGTAGGTTCGTTTCCCACCGTGGTCAGGCATATTTTTTAAGCTTGCCCGGTGTGGATATACACTCAGAGTAACATCACAAGCATACATGCATTAGTTTACCCAGTTTTCAAGTAGTATATAGCGATAGTGAAAAAAAAACATGTTTTTAAGCCTTTTCATACTTATACTGCATAAACACCGTGAGCGATGCCGAATGCTCTTCTGGTTTACATGCACATCTTTTTTATGAATGGTAGAATTAAAGGTTATTTAACGGGAAAATTTTGGTTTAAACGTACCGTTTATTAAAGTTAAGTTTAATACCCTCTTTTAATCAGGCTTACAAATTAAGGTTTAACATTTGAGAGTGTTCGCCGATTAAATTTTTTTGATTGATGTCAATATTAGAAATAATATTGTCATAGCCTATCAAATACCGACATGCAGATGCAAATTAAAGGCTGACGTCACGAAGATAGCATGATAATCGACCGCTTGTAAATCCACAAGTAATAAGACCTTAACTTAATGCAAAGCAGTTATAGCAGCTGCAGAGCTTGCATATACGCCTGTTGTTCAACAAAAACGGCCGTATATATAAATCATGGCCTTCCAATTGAGATTGCCGGCGATGATTGCCATATATCTTTTGTTTTTTTTCAACAAAATATCATGGACCGAAACTGCTGTTGATCGAAGTGAGCAGGCAAAAGCTGAAGAGTTCCTTGACTATTACAACAGTTCAATACTCCAATGGCATTACAAGAAGTTTACAGCGTCATGGAACGAGGCAACGAACTTAACGGCGTACAATCGAGAAGTTAAAATAAACACCAGTCTGGCTTTTGCTTCATTCGAAGAAAGCATTCGAGCGAACGCGTCGCGATTTAATACCAGTCAATTGGAAGAGGATACAGCGCGACAGCTAAACCTAATCATATCTTCCACGCAGTTAAAGAACGCAACCGAACGAGCACGAAAAGAAACGCTTGTATCTCAAATGAAGACAATTTACAGCACCGCAAAGGTAAAGCCCAGATCAACCGAGGATGAGAGTGCACGAGCTGTACACTATCATGCATATTTTATTTTAATTAAAACGTACTAGTTGAAACGCTTTCTTATCAAACCTTTATTTTGTCCATTATCTAGGGCTTGTATAATATCTCCTGTAGCAATTTGGGACCGCCAATTCTCATTAATTAGCTCTCATATACTCGTTTGACTGCAGCTTAACGGGTTTTAATAACACACAAAACAACAGACACTCCGAAAATTGTAAACATTTTCATTCTTTACGTTTCGACTATTAATCTAGGTCATCATCAGAATGAACAATGAAGATTTAAGGCATTCTTCTGAAGATGACTTAAAAAACTTAATAGTCGAAACGTAAAGGATGAAAATGTTTACAATTCATTTTCGGAGTGCCTATTGTTTGGGTTTTATTTATAAAATACTGTACATCAAAATCGACAATGACTTTAATCACAGAAACTTTGACCGTATAAGCGAACCTAGTTAAAGTTTAGAAGATATCTCTATTTTCGGCAAGTTGTCCGTTCGGCAAAATGTCTTTCGGCAAAATGTCTTTCGGCAAAATGTCTTTCGGCAAAATGTCTTTCGGCAAAGTTTCTTTCGGCAAAATGTCCCGCCACCTTTTGTTCCACCATAAATGAGTATAAGCCTATATAATAAACTCAGGTCAAACGAAAATTAGTATAAGCCTTTATTAAACTTATGGTTTGCATGAGAGTCTTCTAAGTCTCGTTAGTTGACGAGGATTGACTTAAGCCAGTTTTCCACTAGCGAATTTTTTCGCGCAAAGCGACCTTTTTCCTTTGTCGGCATGCACTTATTACGTCAGCAAGATGTGGCAAAATGGATGCCGACAAGGGAAAAAGGTCGATTGGCGCGAAAAAATTCGCTAGTGGAAAACCGGCTTTAGTTGATATTATACCACATGCGTAGCGTAAACTATATCTTCAAATCTTATATATTCGAGTCCATATCAGAGTTTGCGATCAAATTAAAAGTGCTCCTTTGAGAAGGGCTATTCTTTGATAAGAATTAATGAAGGTTTGGCCCATCACAACACTTAATTTCAAGAAGTTATAATTAACTCCAGTACTCAGTAGATAAGGTACAAAATTACACCACTGGAGTGAACTACTTGAAATTAACAGCAAATGATTCTGCGCTTGCTTGTCAAATCGACAGATTCATTCCTTTGCAATTTATTGTTCGTCAGTCAGTGCGGAGGGCGCAGTGCTGATGTAAAGAAAATAACCGCGGTCCATGAATGCACCGGTTTAAGACATCACAGCTGCATGAGTTAATTTGCATGTCTTGTTATGCATAGTGTTAGAAAGCTCGTTGTTAATAGGGTTTTTAGGTCAGTTGTCGTGTGGGAATAACTCGTAACCAAGACAGCGTCTTTCTCTGCTGTCAATCTAAGTAGGATTGTGCCTCAAAAAAACACGTTTTTTCATGTTTACTTTTTTTTAAAAGATCCCTTGACAATTTGAACTCAAGACAATGTAAGTAACATTTGATCGGTATAATTCAAACCGAGAAGCAAGAATTGCAGTCTGCAAGACTCTCCATGTGGTCTCCAATAGCAGCAACTTTATCGAACAGACATAGATTTAAGATTTTTCTTAAAAGATTCACCTAATAGAGATGAATGCAGGTGAATAAGCAGTAAAATTTCTGACTATAGAAAGTAAAATGTGTAGGCTAACTATGTAAATAAGCCTAAACAAAAGTGGGGATTAAACTGAAACAACAAAATAATATATCAGTTGATATACCGTAGTACGTCGTATTCTTTTAATTAAAGTACCCGAAGTATTTCTTTAATTAAAGCGCAATTGCAAGATTGTTTGAGAACAATAAGGCTGCATACGTATAAGAGGCATGAAAAGATTGCATGTGATTGTCCGCCACAAAATCCATGATGGATAATCGATGGCTATAATTAAACGTTAAAAGAATATTCAAGGAGATTATCGGGAAATAATTTTCCCCAATGTTAAAAGAATCACTCAATGCACGTTTTGTATTTTTAAGTTTTCTATTGGTGGATATACAAGCGTTTTTTTTCACTCTCGGCAGTATATTGTTTGTGCTGGCTTCGGTTTGTGCAATGTGCAAACAGTGCAATGTCACAAAATAGGGAATGTGTTTTGATATTAAAGAGTTATTAAACTATACATGGTGTGATTGGTTGTTTTCGAGAAACGATTTAAGGGCGGATATCTAAAATTGTATGGCGAAAAGGGATTGTACCGTATTATCGACACGCACATAGAGAGGGCAAACTTATCCATACTATGCACATGCATGTTATAACATTTTTGAATACTGGCCGCATATAAACATAGTTTTAAAATGTGCTTCAATCGTTGAACGAATATCCCACGTCGAGTATTAAGTATTCCCAAAGCTTCACAGGCTTTGGGTTCATGCCATTTGCGATATAGTGACCCATCAGTCTGGTAAAAACTAGCCGCATATAAACATAGTTTTAAAATGTGCTTCAATCGTTGAACGAATATCCCACGTCGGGTATTAAGTATTCCCAAAGCTTCACAGGCTTTGGGTTCATGCCATTTGCAATATAGTGACCCATCAGTCGGGTAAAATTCATAGCCAGTCAGAGATAATACCATCCCTATGTCTAAGTTTGTGCAATATATTTAAAAAAATATATAATTTCATATAGTTATTAGAATTTTCTTGTTGACAATTAAAATCATAACGATTTCAAGCTTGCGCACAATCTCGTTTCCCGAGCCTGTGATCCTCGGGAAGGAATGCGAGGCTCTGGGATAATCCGTTTCCGGGAGCCAGGAATTGTGGCTAAGATTGAACTACGCATTCCATTTCAACGGCCAATCAGATTCCTCCCTGAAACTGATTATCCCAGAGCCTCGCGTTCCTTCCGATGGCTCGGGGAACGAGATTGGCTTGCGCATGGGTCAAGTTATCCAAACTTCGTACCCAGGGCATTTTATATCCTATTGACGTCGGCAAAAATGGTTGAACTTCGACATTATATGCATGCTAGTATTGTATAAATAAGAATGTGCATAAGATTTCTTTGAATAGGAGACATAAATGACCTATAAGAGTTTTGATTAACCAGACTGACATACTGTATGCAGTTACATTTATCATTTTGTAGGTAGGGAATGACTCCCTTGAACCGGAACTAATTAACATCATGGCAACCTCACGGGACTACGACAAACTTCTACACGCTTGGTTGGGATGGCGCAACGTGTCCGGACGGGAAATGAGACAAATGTATAAGGAGTTCATAAATTTAAAAAATATAGGTGCGAAAGAAAATGGCTACACGGACCTCGGCGAGGCGTGGCGCTTAAAGTACGAAGTTGATGATTTCGCAGCCATAGTGGAGAAGTTATGGATAGAATTGAGACCATTGTATATTGAACTTCACGCTTATGTGCGGCACAAGTTAACAAAGGCCTATCCTGGAAAGGTTTCTGAAGATGATTACATTGAAGCCCACTTGTTGGGAAACATGTGGGCACAAAGCTGGGTTAATATATTTAGTCTAGTAGAACCTTACAAAAATAAATCTAATCTGGATATAACGTCCAATTTAAAGCAGGACAAGCGGTACAATACGTCACTGAAGGTGACCAAATTGGCGGAATCGTTCTTTTTATCTCTTGGACTAGAAAAACTGCCTCCAAGTTTTTACGAGAAATCGATGTTGCAGAAACCAGATGATCGTGATGTTGTTTGCCACGCCTCGGCATGGGACTTCTTTTTGTACAAAGATGTCAGGTTTGCTTGTATTACTAGATTACTACTTAATTAAACGTGAAATGCCGATTTATTTTCCGTGAATTGTGATTCAAGTATAGTTCCCGTGGAGCGTGAAATTATTTATTTTACGTAAAACGATATTTAAAGAAAAAATTGTAAGTAAAAAGTGATTTCAAAATTTTAGGTGAGACTATATTTCATTGAAGCTGTTTAGAGACAAAGAGGATATATTTTAATATCAACTGGAAATATCTACATTTATTTTTTTATTTGTGCATGCCCAATGATATTTTTTTATTTCCTGCATCTGATTGGCTGCAGCAGCGGGAGGCTTTTTACGATATTTTGACCGTGGTCCAAAAGAGTTACAAACCGAGGAGTGAAGTGAAAACACTACCCAAAAAGTTAAAAAATGGCACCTATCGATACTAAAGACAGTAAAATACAGTGAATTTGCTTTAGTGGACTTAGTGCCAAGCCCGAAATGTACTTTTCTCCGACCAAAATTTGAAAAAACAAATATAAACATCGAAAAACACTGGCCAGTGCTACATGTTTTGATTCAAATACTCTACATATATTCAGTCTCTAATTGACTAGTAATGTGAACAGGGACTAAAATATTGTTTGCATCTTGCTAATCCTGATTCCTGAACGTCCTAAGCACATGGCAGTCTTTCTTATATTAAGATCACCTAAACCTGATTTCATGGTTTTGCATGACTCCACGGAGATTCCCACATTGCAATTGATTTTAAAATCTACAACAATAATCTGGCCATCCAGAGTTATTTGGAGGTTAGACTCCCCATAGGGTGTCTTTGTTCTCCTGTTCACTTGATAAGTTCTCTTTTGTTTCCACAAATATTTGACCAAGTTTTCTTGCTCCCACATGCAGCTTGCATGTTTCCTTCTTCCCTAAAATTTTTTTGGTTTCAATTCTCGTATTCCCAATGAAAATTCTCCCTTGTTCTCTAAAAACCCTTTGGGGAACCTCAGAGGTTTACCATGAAAAAGTAAACCATGAAGCATGTACTGCCGCATTATACTGGGCCTTGCTATCACCACAATTGGTTATTTAAGTGCATGTTATCATGTTTATGAAGAAAAATGAAAAGAAATCTATTTTTAAAAAATTAAAATGAGGTGTTGTATCCACATATACAGAATTTTTTTGATTAGCATAAAAATTTCCTTGATTTTCTCAGTTAAAATCACTTCTTTTTTAATATTTGTTCAAAAACCAACTTTTGAAATCCTTACGTTTCACAAAGGAAATACAACATTCGTGTCGTTGTTGTATCAGGGATACAACCTGTGAACCTCTTTCTGGGGAACTAATTTAGCTATAAGTTGAGAAGTCACAATTCTAGGGGGTCCGATACTCGCCTGTAAAATAAATGTTGGGTTTCTGACACTTTCCCTGTATTATTTTGGGTTAGACCCAATGCGTTCATCATGATTTATCAGTTATTTTTAAACGAATCTAAAACTACACTCTGAAAACATTGAGGGGGGGAGGAGGGGCGACCCACGCCTACTGCACATTGGCGGCAGCACTTATATACTACATAAATGAGTATTATACAGTTATACTTTATGGTTTCCGTGTTTGGATGGCCTGATCCAAACACGGGTTTCGACCTATCAGAGCACGCGTTATATACATGTTATTTTATAGTAATAATTACTCTAACATAAATGCATTTGTCATATTATTAAATAGAATCAAGCAATGTGTGGAAATAACACATAACCAATTAGTCACTCTTCATCACGAGCTTGGGCATATACAGTACATTCTTCAATATTGGGATTTACCAGCAGTATATCGTACAGGAGTGAACCCAGGATTTCACGAGGCTGTGGGAGACTTGATATCACTTTCTGTCGATACTACCACCCACTTGCAAAAACTTGGTTTGTTGAAAAACAGCACAAGTCATGATGAAGGTGAGTTGTTAAATATATAAAACGGCCGCTCAGAATTTAAAATATATATAAAACGGCCATTAATGCAAGCACCTCGTCCGGTAAATGGCCAACTTTCTAAAGCTTGGGAGATTGAACCTATGGCGAAAAGAAACTTAAGTATGATATATTTTGCAGTGCAGTAATTGCATGTACTGTATAGGAGCAACAAAAACGATGCAAATATGATCGAGTATAATCGACCCACCCAATGGACCAACCCCCAATTAACCGGAATTTTGAACGCAACAAGTCTAGACAAAACTTCATCACAGCATAAAAGAGGTAAAATGCGGATAAAATAGCCTTGCGAAGTTTGTAATTTTCAGTCATTTTGTATCACGCACGGAAGTGGTAACCATTTTCCCGTTTGTAATCTAAAATGACTGAAAATTGCAAACTTCGCAAGGCTATATTATCCACATTTTACAATATTTTAAAACGAAACTTTGGAATATTACTCATTTTGTGATGCTCTTTCAAGCTGTGATAAAATATTTGTCTAGATTGGTCGAGTTCAAAATTTTGGTTAATTGGGGATTGGTCCATTGTCGACATCAGTGAGCTTAAACAAGCGACGTACGTTTTGTCAACACGGACGTCACCCGAAAATTGGTGTGTCTAATTTTTGCGGCGTTTTGCATCATAGCGCTCATGTAAGGAAGCAAAAAAACTTTAAAAATCATATATTTTATCACATGTATTGAAGATTATCACAAACTGATACAATCACAGTTTTTAATCCTGTCCCTCCCTCCCTCCCGTTCGGCAATCTGACTGACGTTGCTTGCTTAATGCCCATACAGACCGGACGCGATCGCGATTTGGTTCAGTTTGAAGAAATTTTAGCTACTTGGTCTGCATATCTTGTAAAAATTTTATCAGTTGACTTTATTTGTTTTTGAAAACTGAAAGAATCGCGAAGTTGTCGAATCCCGTCCGGTCTGTGTGGGCCTTTAAGCTCGCTATTATCATATTATAGGACGAACATTAAAAAAGTCTATTATACTCTGATAAACTACCAAACCATGAAATTGAGCGGATATACTGACAGTGTCACTGAAACTTGCTTTGACTAACCTGTAATAAACTAGGTTGTTACCCTAAAATACAATACAACTAGAATCTTAATGGGGAAAAAATTTCGATGCAATTTGCCATGCATTTTTTTTTCTCCAGAGTGTCGGAGCGTTTCTTGCACTTGCTAAACAATTCATTTCCCAACAATTGAGAATGGGGACTTTATGCTAAATTGCTGAAAGTTATATACATGTAATTAATCTCTATATTGTTCATTGCTGTAGCAGTTTTGTTCGTTTTCACTAACATTACGTTACAAGTTGAATGTAAATTGCATCGCGTCTTAATCAGTTTCTTCAGATCAGCACGCCCTGTCACACGTCACTGAAGTTTCTCGGTAAACGTCTCGCACAGTATCATATGGTTAACAATTAAGGATTCTTATTTTATGCATGGACGAGAACAGAATCTTACAAGTAAAATTATATTAAACTTCAAATATGCAATTGTTCGCTGTCATCTCGAGTTTCTGCTTCACACTCTGTGTACTATACTCTGTACTATATACTACTAACTAGAGTTGAGCTGAGCTGCATGTCCTCGTTTTATAATAACCGCGAATTCAGGGAATACTGAAACAAAGTGTATATTCATGAATATACTTCACTTGTAAGTTGTAAATGACGAGAACAGAGCAATTAAGAGCTCTCACCTCGATCGGTAATTCGATTCTCGCTTTGGACACATTAAGATACATATTCCCCATGCAAATACATTAACATTTCAAAACAGTTTTTATTCCAGATCTTTTATTCCAGTTTTACGTCAATCAAATCTCTTTATTAATCAATTTAAATGTGATCTCTTTAAACACTATCACAAAATGTCTGAAGAAATTTGTGACATTGGTGTGCCACAAACTTTCAAAACAATCTGTGTTAAATGTCATTCATGTCGTCCCTTGTCTATAGTCTCTCTGTAAATCGTGTTGTTAATAATTATCACTTGCATGTATTCTGTATAAATAGTTAAGGTTACCCGTAAAGGAGTGTTTAGCTCTGTGGATATAACCTGTCATTTATTTGAAAAATGAAATATGAAAAGAGTCCATTAACGTTCTACCGAATTTTCGTATTGTCGTGAATTGCCGAATTATCGTGAACTTTCTCCAGGTACTCTGGTTTACTCCCACAGATTCATGACAGGGTGAGTTGGGATTAGCTCTTAATTAACTGACCCTTCCATGCAGTATAGCTGCATATGCTTAGTGATCAGACATGAGTTATAAAATGGCTGCCTGAGCCACCTTATAGAAAACCTTTGACTCCATTCATTCATCCGACTATTTCAGCTGGAAATATTACTCCCACTTATTATTTATGTTTAGCTCCAGTAACGATATGTAACCAGTATGTATGTGTCTTGATACAGAATCTGATACTAACGTTTTAATGAAGTTGGCTCTACGAAAGATAGCGTTTCTTCCATTTGGTTATCTCATTGACCAATGGCGATGGAAATTATTCAGTGGTGATATCAACGAAACAAATTACAATGCGAAATGGTGGGAACTAAGAAGTAAATATCAAGGTATTAAACCGCCTGTACCAAGAAGTGAAGACGACTTTGATCCTGGAGCTAAATTTCATGTACCTGCTGATGTACCATATATCAGGTCGGTTTCTTATCGCAATACTATGACCCACTTTATTTCCTTATAGGCCATTGGCATGGCAATTAATGTAGCTTTTTTTTTTTGCAAAACAGGAAAAACATCAGTGATTTTTACTGAGAAATTTGTAGTATAGTACCGGGATTTTTCAAGCTTTCTCAGGCTGCCCGTTGATTGGTATGATATAACCCAGATTAATCTTAATTATTGATAAATTAAAGCCTCCTTTTTAGCTTTTATTAAAATTGCGATGTACTATCCGTGGTTTCACAACTTTTCATGCATTCAAAAAAAGTTTGGCCGAAAACAAAACAAAACAACCATAACGCATAGCGAATGGCATATTTACAGTAACTATATCAATTTTTTATTACGTCAATTATGCAAATTAAGTGATTGATGTCGCATATGTCGTATGCATTGTTTATACTAGTTTTACAGCGAGCGGTCATGTCATGTGTTCATGTCACAGATTAATAACCTTCAAAGATCAATTTTCAGGATTTGTTGGTCCGAGCAAAAAAGGTTATGAAAACTGCATGTAAATTTCTTTGAATCAGTACAATGTGCAAATGAATTTTAAAAGTGCTGAGACATTTTTGGTATTGCTAACACAATAAATTGTATTGGTAATACAATTACTATTAATAGATTGGATTAAGGATCATTCGTACGAAGTATCCATGCAAGTCCACGCACTTTCCACGCTATTAATAGCCAGTCACTAGCAAATTTACAAACATTCTCACTGTTCTCACTGCTCACTTTGGCCGCCTCACTTTGACTACCTATACTTTCGCCCGGCTATTAGGGCGAAAATATTAGCACCCCCGTCCTGCAAGGTCTACGAGCTTGCAATGGACATCGGTGCCTCGGGCGAGGGGATTATTTTTGCCTAATTTCGTATCATCATGACACTAACAGCTCTTTTTTCTACATACGGCGTAGGTATTTCGTAAGTTCGATATTACAGTTTCAATTCCACAAAGCTGCATGTGATGCAGCCCAATTTAAAGGACCTTTGTTCAAGTGCTCTATATATCAGTCCAAGGAAGCTGGAGCAAAGATTGCGTAAGTAAAATTTGCTGTTCTTTTTAAAACATAACATGGCACATCAATGAAGTTGGATATTTTTATACTTATCTGCATGTATATGATCTGTCAGTGTGACGAAAAGCAAGTTTCAAAACAAGAAAAAATGTTTAGAAGTGTTTTAAAATTAACGAGAGCGAACAAAGCGTAGATACTGAAGTTGAGAAAAGAAAAGATGAACTGTTAGTTATTAACGTATTTCATACTGAATTCCATTCCAGAGCCATGCTGGCGATGGGTAAAAGTAAACCATGGCCATATGCTTTGGAGAAAATGACGGGAAGCAAAGAAATGTCTGTGGTGCCAATGAAGGAATACTTCCAACCACTCCAAGAGTGGCTGGTGAAAGAAAGATGCAGCAAGAAATACAATATTGGTTGGCCTGGGCAACCGGCTGATGGTGTCAAAGATTGCGCTACGCCAAAGACATCGATCAAACCAACCTCAGGGTCTGAACCAAACAGTGCAAATGCTACACCGAGTTGCATATTGGCGTTACTTTATGTAATCGGGTTATTCCAAGCAGTTACTTGTATGTAATTAATGTATACGAAGCCATAGACTGAACGGTTCTGGTATAAATGTAAAACTTTGGACGGAAAAAGGCGTGACTGACTTATCAATTTGAAAGAAATACCAGAAATAGATGCATATAGCCTTTTGTAACTAGTATATATAACTGGGGTCAGTTGTCCCCCAGGAATTGGGTTTGACCCATTGGTCACAATAATTCTGCCTCTGAAAAAAATAGCTGCAACTGTTGTTTTCAAGGAAAATTATCCTCAATCATTGGCCTCAACTGCCTAGGAATCTCAAAATTTTCAATGTCTCCAAATTAATTTTCCCGGGTTGATAACCCGAATACCCACCACAGCATAAAAAACCACATGCGCAAAATCAATGTGATTTTGTAAGACATTAAAGTTAAATAATAATTAAAGTTACAAATCTTGACACTCTAGTTCCCTTTGGACCAATAACCACGACAAGCAGACAACTTCAGAAAATATAAAATAAAACAAATTCCGAAAATAGACATCTTGTGTTCTTGATATTCAAGATAAAAACAAGAGTGTAAAGACAGAGTCGGTAATATTTCGTCTTTATTCCAAAGACATCGTCAGACCTATGAAATTACAAGTAAGCTGTGATTTATATGTACAGCTATTTACAGACGCAGCGGAAGTATAAAATTACTAATGGCTTTAGAACAATGATAGTTTTTTACAAGCTTTTAGACCACTATTGAGATGTGGCATATTACGCTTTATCAGTAATGCTTCTAGGTAAAACTGAACGTAACTTACAAACGCGACTAACACAGCACGCTACCAACTACAACAATTCTAGTGCCATATCTCAACATCTCTTAGACTGTCCTGACGCACACTTCATCTCTCGCCTTTTCTCATTTCCTGACATTGATTCTGAGGAAGATTTCACTGACTTACTTTGCAATCCTCGTAATCTAATTCAAACTAATACTAAAATCCTATATCGTTGTAATAATAATAATCCTAATCAACTTCTTATCCTAGAAGCACTACTGATAAAGCGTAATATGCCACATCTCAATAGTGGTCTAAAAGCTTGTAAAAAACTATCATTTTTCTAAAGCCATTAGTAATTTTATACTTCCGCTGCGTCTGTAAATAGCTATATATACATATAGATCACAGCTTACTTGTAATTTCATAGGTCTGACGATGTCTTTGGAATAAAGACGAAATATTACCGACTCTGTCTTTACACTCTTGTTTTTATCTTGAATATCAAGAACACAAGATGTCTATTTTCGGAATTTGTTTTATTTTATAGTTCCCTTTTGACAGCCCTTATTTTCCTTATTTGGAAGAACTTTTACCTTTGACCCCTCCTCCCTCCCCGTATACATTCCTTTAAAACGGCACTGAATATACTGATGATATAATATATTGACACAGCTTCATCAATTCAGCGCTTTTCACCATGATCGTATCAGCCGGGCGGTCGAGCGATTTCTGGTAATTAGTCTGATGAAAAATTTGTTGGTTGTAATTGCATGTCTTATTGTCCTATAAAAAAAACTAACGTGCAAATGAAAGAAAACAACCTGGCCTGAAAACAACTGTGAACCATATTCGTGTGTGTGGAGTATTTAAACAAGAGTGCCTTCAAATGATGGTTCGAGTTCATGATCAGGCTCAATACTAGAAATACATGCATGCTGCAACCCTCGTCTATACTTTCCAAACATTGATTTAGCATGAAGTATTGGTAATTTACCAACACTGAACGCAGGCTCGCGTTACGCGTCAACTCAAGTGCTGCCATATAGCGACACGTGATTATTTTTCAATTTTTTATATATTTTATATATATATAAAAACAGCAAAAATAGGTGAATATATACTTCGAAACTCTTTTTATACAACGAGCCTTGAAAGAAACGAGACGAGTTGATTTACTATGCATGGGAAATGCGACCAATGGCCATGCATGTGAATTATTGGGCAAGATTGCTTTCAAGGTTTAAGAATAAGTGTTGATGAATTTTGTTGCATAAATTTTATGCCTAAAACAAGCACTGCTCTCCTTTTCAATGCAAGTGTTATAGTTTCCTAAATTATCCTATTCAGTATAATAATAATTTCAACACCATAATATTAGAACATATTTTTCAACCGAAGTCAATTTTCACTTCATGTAGCGCGGCATCATGTTTGTTTTGTTTTGAAGCAATCCGTTACTTCTTTAAACTAATCTGCTTTAAACTGATTGGTTGATTTAATCATTACAATGTTTTTTCACTAATCAGATCAGTTTGTTACAGATTTTTGCGCTGTGACACAGAGAAGAGATATACAGAGAGGAAACTGACACTCGATAACCTGAATTTTTGTGTCACGCGCCACGCAAAATCTTCCAGCCAGTGCCGTCGCTGAAATTTCATAGCAAAAGATAAGGAAAACGCCGTTCGAAAGGTGAAGATCGCTTTTTTAAAAAAATAAGATACCCATGGAAATTTTTTTCAATAAATTATTGCAGAATATATAACGGTAAGCGATCACTTTTATTGATTTCCTTTTATTAAAAGTGTTAACATAACAGTTTATTTTGCAAAAGTTTGTTTTTTTTCCCTATCTACTCCTTATTAAAATCGTGAAAAGCACTGGCTGGGAGTTTCAGATGCTCATATATAAAAAGCAAAGCAGCGAATGATATAAATGCCTCAAAATATAACGCTTGCATAAAAAAACATGAACACCTCTGTAATATGTATAGTTTTTTTCCTCTGCATGGTCAAAATTTAATAGAATTGTGAATTAATATAATTTTCTATAGTTAGTAGACTTAATATATCGGCGTGACATAATTTGCCGCGTGTTTCCTCTCTGTATATCTCTTCTCTGTGACTGTGATTACAAGAAAATTGCGCTGTAATTACAAAAATTAGGTACGCTGTGCGTACATGTTGCATGCCTTCTGAAACTTATGATGCGCTATAGCGCTTATAACCTTTGGTACAACTGGCGTGAAACTTAAAATATTGATTCAACAAGTTTAACAATATCAATATATTTATTGAAAAATAGCTTTTATGTCAAAATAAGAAACTTAAGATTCTCATACGAATAGGCAATGTTTTTATGAGCGACCGTTCATCGTTAGTTGCAAGCGACGGTAATAACAAGGTCAAGGCCGGTCAAGGTTTTATCGAAAGCGATTGACTGGGTTAGTACTATTTTCCATCCAGCAAACTGACCTGACGTCATTTTCGCAAGATGGAAGAGGTGTTAAATGGCTATGTAACTAATCTAAACCCTACCCCTACTCTAACCCCTAAACCTAACCTCAACTCTAACCCAGTGGCGTAACTACTATGGGCTCAGACCGGGTAAACCCGGGGGCCCCCAACCCAAATGGGGGCCCCCAGGCTTAGACGATAGGGAAAAAACATTGGCCAGGGCCTCTGATATGTTACAATGTCGTTTTATGACCATCAGAATTCTGTAAAATCTCTCCCCAAAGTCCAGGAAATGGCATTTCAGAGAGTCTAGATTAAAAAATTTTCCGGATGACCATGCCCTGGACCCCCTAGAAAACTCGTGCATATACGGCGCTCGACTCGTGCCTTTGGCACCTCTACTAGGGGGGCCTTCGAAAATTTTGAACCGGGGGCCCCCTGATATAACGTTACGCCACTGCTCTAACCCTAACCCTAACCCTAACCCTAACCCTAACCCTAACCCTAACCGAATTAATAAAAAAAATCCAAAAAGAAACGACTTTACAAAATCGATAGGGCGGTTTGCTGGATGGAAAAATGTGCTAACCGATTGACTGTTAGATTTCCTTTACAAATGTATAACTAAATAACGTTATTTCCTATAGATTTAGCTTTATTGTAACTTTTTAAAGGTATAAAAAACCGTGGAAACGGTGAATTACTATAATAGACCGAAAATGATTATTAATTAAACTATGATTGAAATTGTCAACATAGGCGTATGGGCTAACTATACTGTGCCCCCAAACAAGATTAGGCCCATACGCCCATGATTGTCGAAGTAGAAAAGCATAAAAGTACTAGTCAGCTAATATGACCTGTATGGTCGTTTGAGTGATTGAGATGAGTTAATTTACACTACATTGAATGTCATGCTGAATGTCATGTTGAATCTTATGCGTACTTCACAATGGTTGCTATTTCGTTGTATTAAATTTCAATACTATTTATAATTCAAATTTTGTTTGATATTTATATTTCATGTTATTTACAAAATGTTCTGTAGTTTTGAAGCTTTGCACAGAATATAATCAGTTCGAGCACTATGGCTCCGTTTCAGCTTGAGTATATAAAAATCGAGTGTTTTGATAGCGTGGGCTTTGAGGCTTTCACGATATATAATATAAACGCCTGATAAATGATCAGTGCGAGCACAACGGCTCCAAAATCACAACAAATAACAGAATACAAGTTAAGTTAAAAACAGCAAAGCTTTACCTACCTCGACCTATTTTTCTAAGGCGCTCAATTATGTAAATTTTCGACAAATAATCAATATTTCTTTGCGTTTCCATGACGAAAACCCGGCATGAAAATGCTCGTCGGAAAAACTCGGTATTAGTCGTCTTTTACGAATCTGCCACGTGACTGGTACGCTCACCGCTCACCGCCGCCAGGGCGCTGTAAAACACGGGCGGTGAAACGGCTATGGCGCCCCTGATCTATGTGTGATGCAGGTCCCCCCGCATATTTTCATTTTTATTCGATGCCTGGTTCGATCAGGCATGTTTGTTTTGACTTCCTTTTAAAATTACTACGTAAAAAAGTACAATTCGAGCATGAATACACAATGGATTTGGGATCTGTGCTATTTAATACTATAGACAAAATCTTTTTCCGGATTCTTAATCACGGCTGATTATACAAGGACCGTTGTAGTGTAGATAGAAGTCTGGCATCTCACTCACGAGGATCGATTGTTTTTGCAAAACAACTTCGTTCGTGTGTTTGTTTATAAGATGAAAAAAGACGAAGATAAAGCTTTTTAAACGGCTGTTGTCGTAAAACCTGCAACTGGAATGTGTGTTTGGAAATCAGGTATGTTCAATCACACGTATTTTTGTCGAGTTCGACCAGATGAAGCGCCATGTAAATTGATAAAAACAGCAAGTTCTTTTTTTCAAGCGATAGTTTGTTGTCGCAGTTTTACAAGCGCGGAAAAGTTTTAACTTTTAAATATTTCATGCACAATATATGAAAAATAGCTTCATTTTGATGTTTTTGTATAACTCAAGTACCTAATTTTCTGAAAATCACCAAATGATAATGGGCTTTTTTAATTTTTAGACATTTTTTCCCCTTATTTTTGACATGTGCATGCCGAAATCTACACATGGAATACAAGCAAGCGATAGTTTGTTGTCGCAGTTTTACAAGCGCGGAAAATTTTTAACTTTTAATATTACATGCACAATATATGAAAACTAGTTTTATTTTAATGTTTTTGGATAATTCAAGTACCTAATTTTCTGAAAATCACCAAATGAAGATGGGCTTTTTTAATTTTTAAACATTTTTTTGCCCTTTATTTTTGACATGTACATGCCGAAATCCTCGCCGAAATCTACACATGCATGGAATACAAGCAATTTGTTGTCGCAGTTTTACAAGCGCGGAAAATTTATAAATTTTAAATATTTCATGCACAATACGTGAAAAATAGTTTTATTTTGATGTTTTTGTATAATTCAAGTACCTAATTTTCTGAAAATGACTCAATGATAATGGGCTTTTTTGTTTAAACATACTTTTTTCCAGCTTGTTTCATAGGGTGTCAGATTTCAAAAACACGAAGTCGAATGCAAAGCAATACCATGTGTAGATTTCGGCATGTGCATGTCAAAAATAAGGGCAAAAAAATGTTTAAAAATTAAAAAAGCCCATTATCATTTGGTAATTTTCAGAAAATTAGGTACTTGAATTATTCAAAAACATAAAAATAAAACTAGTTTTCATATATTGTGCATGAAGTATTGAAAAGTTAAAAATTTTCCGTGCTTGTATTAAAACTGCGACAACAAACTATCGCTAGCTTGTATTCCATGCATGTGTAGATTTCGGCATGCACATGTCAAAAATAAGGGCAAAAATGTTTAAAAATGAAAAAGCCCATTATCATTTGATGATTTTCAGAAAATTAGGTACTTAAATTATACAAAAACATCAAAATAAAACTACTTTTCATATATTGTGCATGGAATATTTAAAAGTTAAAAATTTTCCGCGCTTGTAAAACTGCGACAACAAACTATCGCTTGCTTGTATTCCATGTGTAGATTTCGGCATGTGCATGTCAAAAATAAGGGCAAAAAAATGTTTAAAAATTAAAAAAGCCCATTATCATTTGGTGATTTTCAGAAAATTAGGTACTTGAATTATCCAAAAACATCAAAATAAAACTACTTTTCATATATTGTGCATAAAATATTTAAAAGTTAAAAATTTTCCGCGCTTGTAAAACTGCGACAACAAACTATCGCTTGCTTGTATTCCATGTGTAGATTTCGGCATGTGCATGTCAAAAATAAGGGGGAAAAATGTTTAAAAATTAAAAAAGCCCATTATCATTTGGTGATTTTCAGAAAACTAGGTACTTAAATTATCCAAAAACATCAAAATAAAACTAGTTTTCATATATTGTGCATGAAATATTTAAAAGTTAAAAATTTTCCGCGCTTGTAAAACTGCGACATCGCTGTGAACATTATGCAATTTGGAGTCTTTTGGCGGACATTTCAGTTGCATATTGTAAGTTCGAAAAGAGAAATAAAACAACCTTTAACATAGTAAAAACGGAATTTTCTGCTTGTTCCTTATCATTGAATATTTTCCCTAACTTTTATATTGCATTTGAATGCCTGAATATGTTAATGAAAATGTTTCCCGCAATGTTTTCTAAATTGACAATTGTTTTCTAACTTTATCAAAACAAGATCACAAGTTGTGTCATTGTAAATTACGCAAGTGACCTGGTCATAAATCTTTGAATTAAAAAAAAAAGCCCACAAAAGCCCATTTTCTAACCTTTTCAGGTCGAAAGTATAACTAATTATTGATAATTTAAAGGGTTGAAGTTAACTTTCTTTCCACTCGGTTTGGCTAAAAAAACTCGACTACAATTTGTCATTGCCTGAAAAATGTAAATATATTTTATGATAAAATCGCTATGCCTTCAAATAATTTCACATTTTAAAAATGCTTTTCCAACTCCAGCGATGTAATTTGCAATGCTAGCTAATTAATTGCCAGAGTCTCTATTTTATAACGAGTTAATTTTTTTCCCTTTTTAAGGATAGATTTACCTTAACAAATTGTACTTTTTGATTGCCCTTTAAATATTTTTGTTTCTTGTTTTTGCTTCGCTTCATCTTTGAAAATCCCGCTTGATCCGCGCATTTCGCACGCTCGCGCCAGTCTCCCATGCATCACACATGGATCAGGCAAATATTAGTGCGTTTCACCGCCCGTGTTTTACCACGCCCTGCCGCCGCTCATCACCGCTCACCGCGACACGAAATTTAGAGCTATATGAAAATATGGCATGCAACAAAAATTGCAGCTGTGATTCAGTACAGAAACTTGCACTGTGATTACAGAAAATTGCACTGCTGTTTGGGATTAACTGCACTGAAATCACAGTCTAGTAATATCTTTATGTATATTATTATAAAAAGAAGTGCTGTTTCCACTTTCCAAGACACGTTAAATAACATTGACCCTAATATAAAATTTACTATAGAACATGAGCAGAAAAACGAACTTGCATTCCTTGACACACTTCAGTGTATCCCGACACCAAGGCAAACCAGGGCCGTAGCGAAGGGGAGTATTGGAGGGGTGGTTAATCCCCCCCCCCCAACTTTTTTAGAATTAACATATTCAGAAAATCAGGTTGGTCATTCGGAAAATTACGGCAGTAATAGTATAACAAAATTTTAGTTGTTTAATTAAACAGAGGAAATATTATAAAATTGTATTGTCAGTATCATAAACTGATTTATAAAATCACGGCATTTACATGGAGTAACATTCAACAAATCGTAGATCGGTAAATGTTTTTCGGTTTATATTATTACTTCCCAGGGCGTAGCAACGGGGGGAGGGGGGAGGCGGCAGCCCTCAATATATCTTTAAAATACTGATAATTGATTAATTTTAAGCGGCTACATTACCCATGACAAGCCGCAAAGAATCATTTTACCCATATACGCCTTCGCCCATTTAGTTCTTTCAAATTGTAAGGCAAATTCAAGTAAATTTCGACGTACTAAAACTCTGTTTTCCAAAGTCCACGAAATGGAATTTCAGAGACTCTAAATTTAAAAATTTCCTCGGGCCTTCGGCCCTCGCCACCCCCTTATTAAAAAGAACTTCCTACGGAACTGCACGTTTCTGTAAATTGGGTCGTTCCAGAAAAGATCCATACCCCCCCCACGGAGGAAATTTTTGCTGTCCGAAGGGGGAGGGAGGAAAAATGTCTTAGGATGTCCGAAGGGGGGGAGAGGAAAAATGTCTTAGGACGTCCGAAGGGGCGGGGAGAGGAATGTGGATATGTTTGTCTGAAGGTTTGAGACTGTGATAAAGCCATGTGATCGGCGATTATAATGAGCACGCAATTTTTATCGGCTATATATATGCAGCTCTTGAACACCGGAACGTTTATGTAACAGCAATAATTATACGTCCACGTAACTTGTAAGCAAAATAAGCGGCCCACTTTTGCATGCATGGCCACCAAAAACTAACTCGCTGTAACAGCGTATCCTGCATGTTGAGAATGAGTCGAAAATTGACACGCTTTATTTATTGATTGATTGATTGATTGACATCTTTATTTAAAACACGAGGTCCATTTCACAGGTTATGTTATGTGCTCTTCAATGGAGACGTGTACCTATACTAGTCGACTAATTACTAATAAAAAAGTATCAAACTATTTACAAAGGTAACAAACTACACATGCAAAGAAACTAATATAAAAAGAAATATTAAGATATTTTAGATTTAAACTCAACGAGAGATTGAACTCTAGTGAGTTCGACGGGTATGTCATTCCAGAGGATAGCTCCTCTGTAGGAAAAACTTTTCTTCAAGGATTCCGTTAAGGGTCTTGGTACAAAAAGTTTATGATTAGATCCACGCAAACTATGTTCGTGTATCATTGACGTGGAAGTAAATTTTCCAGACAAATAACTAGGAACCATATTATTAACAGTTTTGTACATAAAAGTTTTGAACTGTTGGGTACGTCTGGTTTCAAGGTTGGTCCAATTCAATGATGTTAAAATATCTGATGACCGGATGTTATAATCAGATTCAGTAATAATTCTTGCGGCCCTATTCTGTAATCGCTGTAACCTTTGTCCAAGACCCTTACCTAGGCTATCCCAGACAATACTACAATAATCAAAGTAAGGCTGTGCTAAAGAGTTATAGATCATGACAAGAGTTGACTGTGGGAGCAATGGTTTTAGTCTTCGTAGAACCCCAATCACCTTGGAGACTTTGGAGATTATAGTAGAAACATGATGCTCCCATGTCAAACTCTCGTCCAGTTTTAAACCTAAACACTTATAAGATCTAACTCTTTCAATTTTGTTTCCGGCGATAGCAATATTAGGTTCTTCAGGAATAGTACTTAATTTTTGTCTAGATGCCATAAACATACATTTAGTTTTAATCGCATTCAGGCTTAGTTTATTCTGGTTTAGCCAGTTTTGGAGAGTTTTAAGGTCGTCATTTAGAACAGAAATCAACTTGTCAGGGTTGCTGTCCGCAAAAGTCAAGTTGGTATCATCAGCGAATAAACGCCCATCTGATACCAATTCACTATTAGGTAGGTCGTTTATGTATATTAAAAACAGTAGTGGACCTAAGATAGACCCCTGAGGAACTCCACATGTTACTTTACGAGTATCAGATCGTATGTTGTTAATAACTGTTATTTGAGTACGATCAGAAAGATAGTTTCTAAAAAGATCAATCGCTTCTTTGTTGAAACCGTAACAAGTTAACTTCTGTAGTAAAATGTTATGATCAATGGTATCAAAAGCCTTTTTTAAATCAATGAATAAGACAGCATTTATTAACCCACTGTCCATGTTAGTGTACCATTTATCAGTGACATCAAGCATAGCTGTTAACGTTGAGTGAAGAGGTCTAAATCCTGACTGTATGTCAGATAAAAGGTTGTTTTTCTTTAAAAAGGTATATGCTTGGTCAAAGACAACTTTTTCAAAAATTTTTGAAACTACAGGAAGGACTGAAATAGGCCTATAATTATTCAAATCTAGTTTTGAATCATGTTTATAAATTGCTGATACCCTGGCACACTTCCAGTCAGCGGGAATAATTCCCTTGCGAATTACTAGATTAATAATGTGAGTAAGTGAAACCACAGTAGTGAAATTAATTAGTTTTAATAAACGAACAGGAATGTTATCAAGACCGCTAGCCTTAGAAGTCGATAATTTATAAATTAGTCCATTTATTTGAGATGGAG